ATACCAGTTTGGGTTATTTCTGTTTTCATATTGCTCGCTGAGGATTAATACTTCAATTTGTTTTTCGTACGCAATTTGGTAATAATGATAATGATAATGATAATGATAATGATAATGATAATGATAATGATAATGATAATGATAATGATAATGATAATGATAATGATAATGATAATGATAATGATAATGATAATCATGACGATGACGACACTGATTTAAGTCATGAGATTGAGAATTCCGGTTCAAAAAAGACCAGTAAGTAACTTAAAATAAGTTGCGCTATTTTCAATGACAAATCATATATGCTTTGCGGTTAAGGTTCATTGCAATGAATGATTTTAGTTTCAGTAGATCACATTATATGTGAACCATTCTCTTTTTATATGATAATTTTCGAAATCCAGGTTGAGAATCTTTACGAATAAACAGGTTTTTTGAATTTAATAGATTGCAATATAGGTGCACAATGTCTACTTAAGTAAAAATATTTACGTGGAAGTACACATAGAAATTCGAGTGGATATACACGTAATTAATTTACGTACATATCTACGTGAACTTCTATGTACTACGTTGAATTCTCTGTAGCGTTTTGAAACATTGACACGTAAAATTCTACGTGAACAGTTTTTGAAGCTTTTCTAATTTCCTAATACATACTAATAAGGTTGGAAAATAAATACTGGGACCCTAAAGAGTCTCAAAATTCAAAAATGACCTCCATTTTTACGTAAATACAGTCGTTTAATAGTTATAGAAGGTTTTATGAAATTCAATAAGTTCCACGTGCATTTCTACGTGTCAATGTTTCAAAACGACACCGGAAATTCTACGCAGAAATATATATTTATATATAAACTTACAACATAGACTTCGACGTAGATTTCTCCAAGCGAAGATTTTCACCTGGGTAAGAGTAGTTGAAATCGTGCGCTAGTTCTTTAGTAATGTTGCGTTTGCACATTGGCAAAGCTACAAAGTTTTTCTTCTTCAAATATGTTCCTTTGAATAAAAAATAAACCATTTACAACTGTTTTTATTACGTACAACTAATCAGGGCGCTAGGTAGGAAAAATCATTTGCGAAAATTATGATGTAGTTTTTTTCCCGAGCTATAAATTTTTTCACCTTCAAATATATTGTTTAATATGGCAAAGAATCTATTTTAAATAAGTTTTAACACGTACAACTAATCAGAGAGCTAGCTAGGAAAGTTAATGTTGATTTTAAGGGCCTTTCCTAATTAGCGCTCTGATTCTTTGTACGACTTAAAAAATGTTTAAAATGGTTTGTTTGTATGTTTAAAAAAAACATATTAAAAGATAAAAAAATTTGTAGCTCTAATTTACAAAATTTAATTTTCCTAGACAGCGCCCTGATTGGTTGTACGTATCAACAAATCGGTCATTTTAGTTGCACCCCTAGGGCCCGGTTGTAGCGGCCCGTCTAAAAACTATTAAAAATTAATTTTTTTACCATTTAAAATAACATATGTAAGTGAAAAAATCTGTGTAGTCATGAAACTCGTTTTATATAAAAAAAATCTGTTATTTAAGTTGCATATCTAGCGCCCGGTTATAGCAGCTCGTCTGAAAACTATGAAATGCAATGTTTTTTAAGTATTTGAAATAACATGTGTGAGTAAAAAAGTTTTTGAAGTCTGGAACTTGTTTCATACAAAAATCGGTCATTTAAGTTGCCTATCTAGCGCCTGGTTCAGGCGGCACGTCTAAAAACAATAAGAAACTAATTTTTGTACCATTTGAATTAATATATGTGAGTGAGAAAATTTTTGCAGTCTCGGAACTCGTTTTATAGTAAAAAAATCAGTCATTTAAGCTGCCTGTCTAGCGCCCGGTTATGGCAGCCCGTTTAAGAACTATGGGAAATACATTTTTTATTATTTTAAATAACAAATGTAAATGGGCAAATTTTTGTAGTGTAGAAAATCGTTTTATATAAAAAGTCTGTCATTTGAGTTGCATATCTAGCCACCGGTAATGGCAACCTGTCTGAAAACTATTAAAAACTAATTTGAATTAATGAAACTTCAACTTAGTCAAATTTTGTAGAATATTTCAATTTTGTCGATTCTTCATTTGTTAAAATTTTCGTATGCATGCTATGGAGGGTTAATAAAAATAATGTTTTTTTAATAAAAAAAGAAAATTTAAAAAAATTTTAATCAAACCTCTCTATTTACATAAATATTTTTTTAAAATTTACTTTTAAGTATTTTTTTTAATAAATAGGGGAAAACAAGGCAAAACCGTTATGCGGGACAAAGCCGTTATTAAAAATATTTTTTATATTTCTATTTTTTTATAATTTTCTTTTAACAATTTATTATTAATAAGATTAGAGCCATTGTTTAGAAAAAAAAAAACTATCAAGTGTAGTAAAAAATATAATGAAAAAGTAGTTTTTGCATGGTAAAGATGGATAGTTTGCTGATTTTAAAAACACATTTTAATCATACATTTTAAAAATAATTTTAATTAATAAAATTTTGAAAACTTCACATTTCAATAGTTAAAAATTCAAAAAAGAGGTTAAAAATACAAAAAGTGATTATTTTCTATAAAACAGTTTAAATTGGTTAAAAATTTTGTTAAATAATTATGTTTCAAAGGTATCGTGTCAAAAAATATATTTTAAAAATCTTTTTACAAGTTTTATGTCATGCTTTTTTATAAAAATATATATTTTTTTGCATTTTTAAAAAATAATTTGCATTTATATGAATGTAATTAAATCATATACTAACGCTTATAATATATTAAAATTTATTGTTTATTTGTTTTAGACTTATAAGAAACAAAAGTCAGATCAATTTAACGTTTACTTACAAAAATATTCATCAAGAAATATTAACCTATGGGCTTTGCCCCATTCTCCCCTACTATAAACGACAAATTTTATAATACAAACAATTAACTAGTTTCTTATAGAAATTGGAAAGGATTATAACATTTTTCTAATTAATTGAATTTAAATAATTTTAATAAATTTAAACTTTAAAACCTTTGCATTTCTCACTCTCTAAACATATGTATTAGTTAAAAATCTTTAAGATTATTTATTTGATTTTGTTTATATTTTAAACTGTTTTAATTGATTGTATTTAATAACATAGCGAGTTGACTATAGGAAAAACAAGGAAATTATTGGGATTTTAAAACTGACTTAAAAAAATTTGTAACGATAAAATTCTTATTCAAGTCGTTTATAAAATTGAAAAAAAGAAAGAAATTAAACTTTCTTAACAGTTCAGAGATATTTTGATAAAAATTTAAACGAGAAACAAAAAAAAATTGAACAGGAAAAACATAATTTTTACTTGTATTTTATATTAAGGTAGTTGTCGCGCACAGAAAATGGGTCAGAGTTTTTTCTAAACTTTGATCAAGTTTTAATTAATAAATAGTTTTATTTTATTTCCTGAATCAATTTTTTAATATTTTTAGTATACAGAAAAAGAGTTCACATTAGTTTAGTTAAAAATTATTCAATTGGAAATCAAAATTAAATAGGTTTTTAAATTTACTGATCTTATAATTTTTTTAAGTACATTTTCCTTCGTGAGATTTTTTTGAAAATTATTTAATATAAACAAATAATGTCTTATTCTTTTCAGAAAAGAATCTCTTCAACTTTACCGTCCAAATTTATGAAAAAGTTACTTATTTTACATATAATATATATTTTTTACGAAAATTGTGTACAAAGAATTTCATTTTTTTGTAAACAATTTACATTATTTGTAAAATGAATGATTTTTTTCAAAAATTTAAACGGTGAAGTTGAGAAAAATCTTATTCCGGATATTACAATATAATAATGTAATATAACGATAAAATATTAAATGTTATATTTATATTACATTTTTAATTTTTTTACAATATTATATTACTTATTATTATAAGTGTTTTCATTTATTTTTTAAAAATTATTTATAATAATAAATAAATTCATAATATATGCAAAAGTTGTGAGAAGCAGATCATCCATGCACTTAATAATATTATTTACTCGTCGATTCGCTAGCGCGCCTCTCGCATTTTCTTAAAACTTCTATATTTTCTAAACTTTTAAATAAATCAATTTGAAATTTTAAAGAAAACTTCCTTGTATACTAATAAACAACTGGAAGTGCTTTCAATTCGAAACTTCCTCACAGACATTCTGTTGGCGAAAGTAAGAAAACGAAACTGCCGACATGTCATTAATAACAATTTAATATTATTAAACAATTGATTATTTTTTAATATTATATTGTGTTACTGTCTTCTGTAGACCCAAATGCGTGTGTATTTTAAATTTCCAGTAATTTAATTAATGTTTGTCAAAGCTACGACGATTTATGTTTAAATATTTAAAGTGTATGTTATTTAAAAAAGTCAAAGGAAACAAAGATGCGCCCTTTGATTTCCTACAAGGATGTATGTATACTTCAAAACTCAAAATTTATACTTTTAATTTTATCTCCTTTTTTATACTTTTGACTAGATTTACAGTGTGCAACCGAGCGCTCGTTGAGTTCTTCTTTCCGGCTGCTCAAATACATTAACACATTTTTTTTGTTCTTCGTATTCCTTGATGTAAAATTGAATGATAATTCTTTCTATCGATGTATATGAACATTTACTATTGCTGGGAAGACTGGTTTCTATATCGATTCTATCAATAAAAATAATTTAAGTGTGCTGCAGAAATTTCAGTATTATACGATAGTAAAGAATTAATAATAAGATATATAAATATAATATAAAATATATTTGATAAATAAATATATATTTCATGTTATTCTATCTGCTAAAACAAATGTTCGTTAAATCAATAAAAAATATTCTCTAAAATACAGTCCTTTATTTTCTTTTTAAACAATAGAACAAGATTATTATATAATGTATAATTATAATTACGTTTTATACATTTATAATACTGTCAATTCATTTTTAAGACTCTAAAAATAATTTTATTTTATAAACATAGTGTTGTAAAAAATTGCTTTATAGGTTTCATGTAATACTTGTCCACCTATTGTCTGTGCCTTTTTTGCATTAAAAATTCAACAATTCTGTTTCGCTTATATGTAGCTGGATTATTACAATTTATTTCGCATTCCTCATCAAAGTTATCGCCATCAACATCTGCATCTTCAACATCGATTTCATCTCCAAAATCTATGCAGATGTTGTGTAAAACGCAACACGCTAAAATGATTAAAGAAGCATATTTTACATTTTGTAAGTACAAAAACTTTAATCTCCGAAATCGACCTTTCAATAATGCAAAAGTATTTTCAACTATTATGCGAGTTTTACTGAGAACTTTGTTGTAATTTATTTCTGCAGGAGTTAGATGGCCGTTATCTTTAAATGGAGTCAACAGATGACGACGTAAAGGGTAGGCAGTATCTCCTATAATATGTCTATTTTCCGGACAATATCTGTCGGGATCGTTATTTATTTCTTGGTTTATGTAACTTCTTCGCCACACGCGTGCATCGTGCATGCTTCCACATTGTCCAGCAAACACATCAACAAATTTTTTTTTCGCATTACATATTCCTTGTAATAAAACTGAATGATAACCCTTTCTATTAACGTATGCATATTCATCAACTTTGGGAGCATTATTTTCTATATGGCATCCATCAACAGCTGCTATAACACCCGGAAATCCAGCGAAGACTTCAAAATCACGTTCTCCAGTAATAAATTCTTGTCCTTCAGGCCAATGTATGTAATTAGCAGAATTTGCACCTAAGACACGTGCAACATTGTGAGTAGCTCTCCACGCCGTGTCCATTGCGACCCCAAACCGATAAGCGATCGATTGATCTGAAAATTAATAGGCACATTAATTAATAGGCTCAATATATTTTTATACATCGGTTTTTATTCCGAGTAATAAAAACAGAGTGAAAATAAACTACAGGTGTAGCAGCTCATTACGGACAACCGCACAAATATCAGTACTGACCTTTTGAACTGAATTCGTACTATACCTAATGCGGGTGCTAAGGCTTGCAACTTTGACTTAATACTGGTTTAATTAAATTTAATTAAATCATTACTAATGCCATAGATTTTTCTACTCTCGAATCTCAATATAGCGACCAACAAAATTTTATTTTAATGATATCACGTATATATTACGGTTCAGATAGCACAGTTTTTTTTGCAGGAAGTTTGCCGTGTTAAGTTTGGAAACTCACTCGGGGAACTTCCTGTAAAGTTCCCTAGAACGTTATATGTCCACGGTTTTTGAGTTTGCGGTTCAAACTTCAGGAAAATTATTCGATTAAGTTTTCCGAAAAAATGTTTAGAAAAGTCTAAGAAATATTAAATTGTTAGGTGACAAGAATTTTATTTTGCATATTTCTTTTAAACTATCTCAGGTAATTTCCCTGTCACGGTGGTATCTAAAAAGTTAAAATTTTGAGTTTTGTTTTATTGTGGTGAAGTTCACTTCTTGTGAACGTTAATACAATACTTTGATAAAAAAAAAAGAAAAAAAAAAGAAAAAAAAACTCAATTGTCAGCATAATGCGATGGGAACGGACTCGGGCCTTTATTCCTGAAATATCATATATGCACATATTATTATTATTACAAATATCTAAAACAAAAATGTCCTAAATATCACCGATAAGAATGTGTGCATATATTCTAATATTATTCATAACTAAATATAACATTTGAAAATATAAAAAATTATCTTCACATGGTTAACTTAAAATATATTATTGTAGTACTATAAATATTACACGCGTGTTGGTGAACATTGCAGCAACGTTCTGAGCGCATTGAGCGTTGCGGCAGTGTTCCCAAACCAAAATTGTAGAAGTTAGTGAATGGGAATGTTGCAAGTATGTTAACAAACATTGCGGCAACGTTCTAAGTGCGTTGGACGTTGCGGCAATGTTCCCCACTTAAAATTGAAGAAAGTTAGCGAATGGCAATGTTGCGAATGTTGCGGGAGCGTTAGCGAACATTGCGGCGGCGCCCTGAGTGCATTGGACGTTGCAAGAATGTTCCCAATTCAAAATTGTAGAAGTTAACAAATGGGAATGTTGCGAATATGTTAACGAACATTGCGGCAACATTCTGAACGCGTTGAATGTTGCGGCGATGTTCCCGAATCAAAATTGTAGAAGTTGGTGAATGAGAATGCTGCGAATGTTGCGGGTACATTACTAAATATTGTAGTAATGTTTACAGGCCATTCTACGTTGTGTAAATGCTTTTAGAGTAAAAACATAGGAATTATTTATCGCAAGTAATAACAACAGACACCTTCTGTTTATGAGGTTCGCTATTATCACTTGTGGGTCTAAAAACGAGCATACATGAGTACAGGAACCACATTAGAAATTGGACTTCTCGCGAAAAAAAAAAGGATATAATAGTAATAGTTAAAAATAAATCTACGCGATGAGCTTTTCCTTGAACGTAATTCTTCAGTTTCCATCCTTTCTTACGCTACCCCCCCCCACTCTTTTTATTACGTATTCTGGGCCTAACAATCTTACATGCCTATGACAACACAACATCAAAGTTGTAATTGTCGCAAATGAAAAGGGGGTAAAAATATCCAAAATCAAAACATTTTCCAAAAAGGAAAATTCATAAAATAAATCCAAAAGAAAACAAGTCTTTCAATGATAATTTACGTTTGATTTTATCAAATGCATATTATTATATTTGGCTATACCATTAAAAGAAAATAAAAAAAAAACTCAGCATTATTGGCATAGTAACAGGCCCAGAGCTCACGCCTTTATCACGTGTTAAAAACCCTTAGTCCACAAAATTTTCCCACCTGAAGTCTCCAAACGTTCATATAAAAGAACATCGCGGAAGTCAATTAATTGCAGTACAACTCTCATTCGCGAGTCAGCTCTGAAATTTTTCAGAGGCGTAAAAACGATTTTGAGACGCCGGGACTAAGCCCGTCCGTGAGTCGGATTTTCAATTTTCACAATCCACTACATAGATAGTGATTAAAATTGGACGGACGAAAAGTTAAAGTAAATACTTCACGCCGACGAAGTCCAACGGAAGTCGTCTTTAATAAAAATTCAGTAATTCGAATAAAATCAAATTATTGAATTTTTGTCTTTTTGACCGGCCAGTCCGCACGTGTGGTGCCTGCGCTGTTTAGATTCGGTGGACCCGGGAGTGCATTCTTGTGCGCTACCAATTGACATTTTCGCGCTTCGATAAGTGTGCATATTTTTCCGCCCGTCGGATAGCAGCTCGACGCCTCGCCCTCGTTAGCTTGCGACGGTATAATGAGCAGTAGAGTAAGTTTTTAAACATGTATCGTTCCATCTTCTTATCTTACTGTATCATTTCATTATTTTAAAGTCGAAATTTCTTTTATAAAATAAATGTATAAAAGGGTCTTAATTGTTTTATTGTGTTTATCCCTTAAATTCACTTTCGAATAACGTAACTTGGCAGTTTCTTTTAAAATAGGATACACGATCCCATAAAATAAACGGAATTTTTTTAATTTCGGCAGCTTGGTGCCTCCAGGACATAAGGAATAATAATTTTTATAATTAATATTTTTTCGGTTCGTAACAAGCTGATGGTGGCAGCGGTGGGATTTTTCCTTACGTTGCTGTCAGCTACGTTATCGGAACAATTGATTTTCATCAATTGTCACCTTAGAGTTTTTCAAAAAATTTTAATTTTGACAAAATTTCACGTTTACTTTTAATTTAAAATTCTTATACTTATACCTTACTAACATTTCAAGACTAAAAATCAATCATTCTAATTTATTAAGTGTTTGATTTTCTTTTCCTTATATTGAAAGAAAAGTACATAATGACTTTGTCTTAAAAATAAATTCTGGATTATGGCTCTCCAACTTATGTTGTTGATGATGACGCAATCCTAATTTATGATTTTGGCTCTCCAACCTTGGTCGTTAATGATGACATTATCTGAGACATTGGTTCCGAAAATTCTTTCAATTAAAAGAAAAGAATAGTTAAAAACTTTAATCAACTAATTTCAAACTTCTTTTTGAGAATTGTGTAAGAGAGGATTTTTACGAGGAAAAACCTTTCAATTTCTAAGTGCATTCAAAAAGTACATGACGACCTGTTTGAATTGCGGAAAATTTTGAATTTGGCTCTCCGACCTTGGTCGTTGATGATGACTTATTCACAATTTTGATTTTGGCTCTCCGACTATGTCGTTGATGATGACTAATCGAAATTCATAACAGTAACTCTGGAAATTTGTTTCTTTTCGAAATAAAGAAAAAATTCTCATCGAGAAAAACAGAAAGAAGTGATATTTCCTTTAACTGCCTAATATTTTCCTCCATTCTTTATACTTTACTTTGAGAATTCAGAAGAGAAAATTTTTCAAAAGGAAAATTTTCAATTTCCTAATGTATTCAAAGATTTAAGTGACAACCTGTTTGAATTGCGAAAAATTGTGAATTTGGCTCTCTGACCTTGGTCATTGATGATGACTCATTCCCAATTTTTGATTCTGGCTCTCCAACTATGTCGTTGATGATGACTAATCAAAATTCATAACAGCGAGGTCCTAAAAATTTGTTTCATTTTGAAATAAGAAAATTCTCACTGCAAGAGAAAGAAACCTATTTTTTTTCTATACTTAACATGTCTTTAATAGAAATTTTTCTTCTATTGCCTTTCGTGTTACTTATAATCACCTTTTCGCACTCTCTAATTACGGAGTTATTAGGAATCTTATTTCAACTTTTCTGTTTAAGGGCCACTTTACTCTGTTAAAGAAGTAATTGAAAACTATTGATTTTTCATTTCTTTTTTTTTTTTTGCTATGAATCATTCAAATTATGCCACATAAAATTAGGCCCCGTGGCGGTCGCTCAAAAAAACGAATTAATTCACGCAATAAAAATATTCAAAACAAATCGGAAAATTCAGATAAGAAAATAGAGACTACCCTCGTTAAAAACGAAATTGTTAAGGAAAATTAAGTTTCGGTAAAATCAGAATATAAATTTCATCCCTTAAATAGACAACCAAAACCAAAATCACAAATTAAATTAGATTATTTTGTGACATATAACCCAAAACATCCACTTCACCACGGAGGCATTGTTAACCGACGAGAATTACAGAGACTCTCACTCACACTTGTTGGATCAGCTGACGTGCTTACTTATACGACTAAACAAGACCTTAGAGTTCGAAGAATAGAAACGGTCAGTTTCTCGTTTAAAAGACTGAACGGAAAAATAATTTTATCATAAAAAAAAATATTTTTTTTCATGTCGAAATTACTATGACTATTCGAGTACAATATAACAGTGCACAAACTGTGACAGTACATTCGGAACACCTCTGTAATAGTTTAGAAATCCCTGTCAATAACGATACTAAACTTAATTATATTTGTGAGACACAACTTAAGACAGACTGCGCGATTCTTGGCTTCCCGTCGGGAGACTGCATAAACGACGAATATGCAGAAATCTTAGGCATTGTTTTTCTACCAGTAAATGGAATCGAGATCTGTTTTTGTGTAGTGGACTCTTTCTTCTCGCAAGATTGTCACATTACAACGGGAATAATTGGCAGACAAAGCGCCATTGAATTGGAATTACTATCATTCCAAAATTTATAAATACTGTTTGAAATTTTCTTTTAAAAAAAAATTTTTTTTCCACTTGAGGTTTTCCCTTTAAGAGAATTGTGGCAAAACGAAGTTTTAGAATCATTAAATTGATTATAAAACCAGTTACTCTCCATCGCTGTTGCCAGTACGACACCGCGAGATCGGAAATTCCTATGCTGTATCTGAATAGTTTTCCATAAGGAAAA